TTGGTGACTCCTGCTTTAAGGTTTCTCCACCTTGGCAACTTTTAAGATGTGTGGACTTCAACTCTGGGGAATTTTGAAAGTTGACGTCCACACATCTTAAAGCAGCCAAGGTTAAAAAAACACTAATTTAAAACATTCCAAGGATATTTCTGAACTGTAAAACGAAGTCTCGCCCTTGTATTTTACCTATAGTAGCTTCACAAACATTAAAGTGGAAAAATTGTTCCAAGAATCAGCAAAATATATATATATATGGCTGTGCCTTCTTTTCATGACACTTCTTTGGTTCTCCTTACTTTCTTCTTCTTGCCTAATGGCATTGTATTTTATGTATAATTTAAAATTTTTAAGGCTGCCCAACCCACAACAATTATATTATAACCATCACATTTGAAATATTAAGATGGCTCTTATAAATTGAATGCCGTCGAATTAAGTTGTTTTTCAACTTGTGAGTTCCCTGAAGAGTACTATATTCAAGAGAGTTAATTAAAGAAAAAATGCATGGTTTTTAATGCTAGACAGATTCCAATATTCTTGCACCGGAAAAGTAGAGAAATGAAGATGTAGCTTGAACTATTTTGCCAGAGGTCTGCATTGCATATTAAATCTACCAGTTTCTCTAACTGATTTCTTTGGCAGCCGAGTTTGCATTGTAGTTTAAACGTAATGAATTGGGCTGCAGATTTTTCTCTAGGTTTCTAACAGAGTTAGAAACAAGCACAGGGAATCTTTTTAATAGCAGTGCATAAAACACAAAAGGCTGTTCCCAGCATGCACTTAGGAGATCTTGACAAATGCTATGAAGTCACCGATTCAGAGCAAAGGGAGGGTACCACTTCAAGGAAGGGTGGAAAGGGAACAAAAGGAGAATGAATCATGGAATGATCATGCAACTTCTAAGGCATAGCCAAGACTGTGAGCAAGGAGACAATCTTGAGATCTGTCCAGGAAGGAGAATGGTCATCAGGCAAAGCACCGGCAACATACAGCAGGCAAATGAGAAGACCAAGCATGACCTCAAAGGCCACAGATGACCTCTAGTCTGTCTTAGCTGAGCTTCAATCAGACAATAGGAAGCCATGGGCATTTGCGATGGGCAGCTCCTCATCTAATTAAGAGAAAAATATTGGAAGAAAGCAGCTGCAAACTGTGATTTCCTTCCCTCCCACCAAAAAAAATACCAATATTTCTCCACCTTGGCAACTTTAAGATGTGTGGAATTCAATTCTGGGGAATTCTGGGAGTTGTTGAAGTCCATACATCTTGAAGTTGCCAAGGTTGGCGAACACAGCTCTAGAGACTGGTATTCATTCTTCAGGGAATGTCTTCTACACCAATGGTTGAACCAGGGGTGAAATGTAAAATGTGTTACTACCGGTTCTGTGGGCGTCGCTTGGTGGTGGTGGGGGTAATGTGACTGGGTGGGCGTGGCCAACTTTTTTTTTTTTAACTTTTCAAAGCATTTTTTTCTAATGCTTTGAAAAGCCTCTTGCCGATCAGGAAACTCAGCTGGGATCATCAGAGAGGCTTTTAAAAAAATGCTTTGAAAAGCCTCTCTGCCGATTAGGCAACTTAGCTGGGATTGTCAGAGAGATTTTTTTTTAAAATGCCTCTCTGCCAATCAGGCAACTCAGCTGGGATCGTCAGAGACTTTTCAAAGCATTTTTTTAACCACCTCTTCGGCCAAGAGGTTGCAGAAAAAAATGCTTTGAAAAGCCTCTGAGGATTCCAGCTGAGCCGCGCAATCATCAGAGGCTTTTTTTTTTTACTTTTAAAAGCATTTTTTTCGTCGGAAGAGGTTGTAAAAAAAATAAATAAATAAAAAAGCCTCTGATGATTGTGCGACTCAGCTGAGCATGGTGGGGGAGCGCAGGGATTTTTGCTACCGGTTCTCCGAACCACCCGCCGCCATCGCTACCGGATCGGGCGATCCGGTCCGAACCGGGAGCATTTCACCCCTGGGTTGAACTGTTTCTACAATCTGTCCACACTACAAAACCCTCTGCATGGCACAAAGGATTCTGGGAAACCAGCCCCTGCTCTTAATATGGGTCTACTGGGACCACCCAGAACCAGTTTGGCCTAGTGATGAAGGCATCAGGCTAGAAATCTAGAGGTGTGTGCTCTAGTCCTACCTTAGGCATGAAAGAGGGGTGGGTTGCCCCCGGTTCAGACCAGTTCACAAGAACCGATAGTAAAACCAGCAGAAGGCTCCACCCACTGACCCGGATGTCATCAGAAGTGATCTGCGCATGTGGGCACAATGCAAACCAGTAGTAAAGGTAAGTAGAACCCACCCCTGCCTTGAGCCTGTCACACTCATTCTCTCTTCTCAACCCAACCCACCTCACAGGGTTGTGAGGGAAAATAGGAGTAGGAACAAGTATTAGGTATGCTAAATTTATATTTATCAACAAAGAAATAAAGGACATAATAAAGAATATTAGGTATGTTCACGGCCTCAAGTTATTTATAAAAATAATGACAGGATAATAATAAATATCAATCCGTCTGTCAGAATAGATCACGGGCATCAAACTCGCCGCATCATGTTGATGTCACGTGACGTATCACTACGTTTTCTGCCTTTGCGGAACTGGAGTGGGCATGGCCTGTGCGTGATGCATCCGGCCCGCAAACCGCCAATTTGACACCCCTAGAATAATGTATTTGTTGTTTCCTAATGACCTCCTTCCTAGTAACTGGAGCAGCTTCCCACTTGGGGGGGGGGGGCGGGGAGGGAATCTGGCAAACCATTTTACAGGCAAGCTCCTTCATCACTTCCCATCTTTTGCTGAGAAATCTCCCAGTAAACCATGGGAAATTCTCAGGATTTCCCAAAATGGGAAATACACTTTAATACACTTATTAGATGCTAATCCAGAGGTCTTCAAACTTGGCAGCTTTAAGACTTGTGGACTTCAACTCCCAGAATTCTCCCAGCATAGCTGGCTGGAGAATTCTGGGAGTTGAAGTCCACAAGTCTTAAAGCTGCCAAGTTTGAAGACCTCTGTGCTAATCCAACAAATACTGTGGCCATGCAATTTGTTTGCAGAAGTAAGCTTAAAGAAGACATCAGCAAGATGCTTTAGCGCATTTCTTTAGATGATGTTGGAGACGGGATTATGTTAGATCTTTGAATGTTACAAAATTCCAGAATGTGCAACAGGTGCTAATAAAAACAACAACAGACTCCAACTTGAGGAACACAAAGGCCTTTTTTTCTGTCTAGGAGGGGATTTAATTGTTTACACTGCATTCTAGAAACTGGAGCATACATCCAGCTTTATTCTCCCTGCATAAAGATCCAGCTTTGTCCATTTTTCCCTCAGAGAAATAACGTCAAAGTTACAGATGGCAAAGCGTTGGATTTCTCACTGATGGGGACATCAGTGAAGGACAATTCCCACATCCGTTTTTTTGCCTGCTCTGGTCACAAGAAACATGTTATATTACGGCCTGTGTTAGAAATGAGGCAGGAAGACAACAGAGAGAGATGATTTCGACTAGTATCACAGAAATACGGAAGACTCCCCCCCCCCGGTAAATTAGGGGTCAGCAACCTGCGGCTCTGGAGCCACATGTGGCTCTTTCACCCTTCTGCTGTGGCTCCGTCACTCAAAATATGCGTCACAACCGCCAATGTACGACACCCACTGGCACGTGATTTATTGAGCTTTTCAACCTCCGGTAGGCCAACCATGGATAAATCCAAGAAAAGAAAAGTTTCAGAAGAAAAACAGAACGTTTAATTCAACTACATATGCTAGTTTTGTGGCCGCTCAAGAAATAGTCAGCCACGGGAAGGGTTTTGTGGCTCCCGGTGTTTTCTTTTTTGTGGGAAATGGGTCCAAATGGGTCTTTGAGTGTTTAAGGTTGCAGACCCCTGCTCTAAATAAATAAAACCTCTCAGAGGATTTCAGTTGCAGCAAGATCCAGCAGTACTTCCCAACCCAGAGAACATTAAAATGATAGTTTTCTCTTCTTGCCTCTTTTCTTCAGCCCAGCAAAGTAGCAGAGACATACCTTTGATACCCTACTACGTGAGGCAAGGCTGGCTACCTCCTCCCCCCAAAAAATAAAACTAAAGTGCAATTCACCCCCTCCTCCTCACCCTCTTCGGAAATTAAGCCAGGACTGATGAGACAAACTTTGCTTTCCTCAAAAGAATATGAGTCACTCACAGATTTGTCTTACTAAGAGTATCTATTCCAGCAGGAAGTAGAGACAACTCTCATATAGGGGAATTATTAGGCCTGCTACTATATCTATACAGTACTACTTACCCTAGGTTTGTATCTACCGTAACAATTGTTATCTCCCACATTTAAGAATCTTGATGCAGGAATAAAGATTTTATTTACGAAAGGATCTTTTCCCTTTTTCTTAAGCACTTTTAACACCACGAAGCTTTCTGGTAGCAGTTCCGTCACCCTAATTCAGCAACTGGTGGCCAGTGTTTCGGGTATTTTTTTGGCACGGCCACAAGGATGGGCACACTTTGGAAACTACAGCCAGGTACAACCGGGAAGCTTGCAGGCATGGAATCATCCATCCATCCATCCCTCAGAATAGAGCTGGAAGGGCACCTCGGAGGTCTTCTAGTCCAACCCCCCCAGGAGACCCTATATTATTCCAGACCAAGAAGAGGCCTGGTTCCTTTAACAAGAGTTGGGGGGGGAAGCAGAATTTTTTTTTTTCTTTCAGGTTTTGCACTGAAATGAGAAAAGCTGCAAAGGGACAGTTCTTGTGCAAGGCGGGCTCCCACTTTTAAGGGACTTCGCAGGTTATGGGCGGGGGGGGGGGGGGGAAAAAAAAGAGCCCCCCGGGGGGGGGGAGGGGGGGCCCGCGAAAAGGGGGGGGGGTGCATTTCTCCCGGCCAAGCAAAGGCTGCGATTTTCTCTAACCAGGGAAACCAGTCTCCGGGTTGCCTCCCACCTCCCACCCCACCGCCTGCTGCTGCTTGGCATCTCCAACCGGCCCCCCCTCCAACTCACCGAGCCCGCTGATCTCGTGGCGGAGGCTAACGCGGTTCCTCTCCTCCACTATGGCCCGCAGCATCTGCTGAAGGGAGCGGTCCAGCTCCCCGCTGTCGCCGTCCTGCTGCCCGGGAGCCGCGAAGGAGGCCATGCCAGCAGCGCCCGCCCAGCGTCGGGCATCTCAAGAGCTCGGGCCGGATTGCCCCTCCCCTGCCCCCGCGTGGGGACTAGGCAAGAGAGCTACTGCGGGGGCATGGGTGGCCGAAATGCCCGTCCGCCTCCCCTCCCTTCCCAGAGAGAGAGAGAGAGAGGCTTCCCCGCTGGCCGCCGCTTCCGCCTCCGCAGCAGCAGCAGCTGATCTGCGGCTGGCAGGCAGCGCTCGCCTTTTAGAACGCGTCCTGCTAGCTCGGCGCGTCGCAGCCAATGGGAGGCCGCGAAGAAGGGAGGGGCGTGGCTGAAGCCCGGGTTGGACCCCTGACGTCACCCATTCCCGGACCGCCAAGCGACCAGCTGATGCTGCTGCCGCAGCCGAGGCTGAGAAGCCGCGGGAAAGCCAGACGAGCGTCCTTCCTGCAAACCGGCGGGCGTGATCCACACAACCACGGTGGCCACAGGCAGACGGCTCCCTAAGCACCAGCCCTTGGGCTGATGTGGAGAAAAGGTAAGGAAGGGAATAAGCTACTGGAATTGCAACCCTCTTGGTAAACCTCATGGCAATTCCTAAATTATGATTAAGGTCCCTTTTATGTCTTCCAGGAATAAGTAGAACTGACCCAAAAGGGAGCCTGGATAGCTCTGCAGACTAAAAGCACTGTAATTTAACACCAGCTGTCTGCAATTAAAGTAAGTTTGAATCTCGCCAGGCTCAAGGTTGACTCAGCCTTCCATCCTTTCTAAGGTAGGTAAATTGAGGACCCAGTTTGTGGGGGGCAATAAGCTGACTTTGTATAAAATATACAAAAGTATGAAGACTTATTGCTTAACGTACTGTAAGCCACCCTGAGTCTCCGGAGAAGGGCAGCATATAAATCAAATTTTTTTAAAAAAACAAAAACCGGTTGCATTGGAAGAGTTGATTCCGGTCCAAAAGTAAAGTACCGAAACAGTCCAAAGCAGGGGTCTCCAACCTTGGCAACCTTAAGCCTGGCGGACTTCAACTCCCAGAATTCCCCAATTCAAAGAATTCTCCAATTCAAAGCAAAGCTGGCTGGGGAATTCTGGGAGTTGAAGTCCGCCAGGGTTAAAGTTTATTTATTGTTTATTTATTGGTTCAATTTATATGCTGCCCTTCTCCGGAGACTCAGGGCGGCTTACAATACGTTAAGCAATAGCCTTCATACTTTTTATATACCTGCTTAGTAGGTCTTTCGCACCCCCCCCCAAGCGGTGTTGTTCTTTTTTATACAAAGTCAGCTCATTGCCCCCACAATCCGGGTCCTCATTTTACCTACCTCGAAAGGATGGAAGGCTGAGTCAACCTTGAGCCTGGTGAGATTCGAACTTGCAGTAATTGCAGGCAGCTGGTGTTACTTAACAGCACTTTAGTCTGCTGCGCCACCAAGGCTCCTAGTTGCCAAGGTTGGAGACCCCTAGTCCAAAGGTTTTAGCAGAAGATAAAAACACTTTGGCAGCTAAAATCATGTTTTGTAAGGTATTGCATTTAAAAAACTGCATTTAAAAAGCAAAGCTGGCTGGGGAATTCTGGGAGTTGAAGTCCAACAGGCTTTTTAAGTTTGCCAAGGTTGGAGACCCCTGGTCCAAAGGTTTTAGCGGAAGATAAAGACACTTTGGCAGGCAAAATCATGCTTTGTAAGGTATTGCATTTTAAAAACTGAATGCACTGGATTAGCAAGCGCCTTTGCTTTTATCATGGCGGTGAAATTGCATCACGCTAAACCCAGGATTGTACAAGTACACATGCATCATGATATGGCATGGATTTCCATGGGGGACAGGTCTGTAAATCCATGTCATAAATGATAAAATAAGTCATTGCTCCCATAGGCCCAGCTTTGAAGCTCAGGCATCCTCCACAGATGCTCCGCTGGAAGCAGGATCTCTCAGGAATTGCAGATGAGTGATTTATGCACCTTCTGGGTTTGCACAACGGATCCTCTTACCAGCTAGAGGACTTCATGATCAGAGGAACTGCCTTGCCCCCAGTTGCATCAACCTATCCCATCCAATCGAATAAGGAAGATACCATACAGGCCCAAATCGAAGAATTTCAGTTGTTGGAGGCCCAAGAAGAGAGCCTTCTCTGCTATTGTTCTCACCCTCTGGAATATTTTTCCTCCCACAGGTGACATGGGCCCCCAACCTTCCCTTTCTGAAGGATATGGAGACCTGGCTGTACCAATTTGCCTGGGGCTTGAAGAGTGATGCAACGCTGGGAGTGGTTAATACATTTGAAGCAGTGGTGAAATCCAAATTTTTGTACTACTGGTTCTGTGGGCATGGCTTGGTGGGCATGGCAGGAGAAGGATACTGCAAAATCTCCATTCCCATCGCACTCCTGGGGAAAGGATATTGCAAAATCTCCATTCCCACCCCACTCTGGGGCCAGCCAGAGGTGGTATTTGCCGGTTCTCCAAACTACTCAAAATTTCTGCTACCGGTTCTCCGAACTGCTCAAAATTTTCACTACCGGTTCTCCAGAACCTGTCAGAACCTGCTGGATTACACCTCTGCTTTGAAGACATGTTTTTAGTTTATTCTATTTTTGTTTTCATCTGGTTCCCGTTCTACTGATGTATTGTAGTTTTTGTATGGTTTTTTTAGCTACAAACTGCCCAGAGACACTAGAGAGTGAAACAGGTATGTATATGTGTGCCTAAAACTGTTCAATAAAGAAATCTACTAAGTTGTAGGATGGGTAATCAAACAGCTGAAGTTTGATTTTGGAACAAGCAAAAAAAAAACAACCACAGAATTAGGAGATGTCTTTCATTTTAAGACCCGTGTTGGGGACCTGATAAATATTGTGAAGTTTCATTTCACCTTCTTCAAGAAGCAGATTAATTCCTGATAATCCTAAAGAAGAGGGTAGAATGGCTCCGAGTTAAAAGACGCTGAGCTTGTCAGCTAGAAAACTCATAGCCCGGGTTCAAGACTCGAGTGCCGCACGATGGAGTGAGCTCCAGTGCCCTAGCTCCTGCTTAGTGAGCAGTTCGAAAGCACGCAGATGCAAGCAGATAAATAGGTACCACTTTGGTGGGAAGGTAACAATGTTCCGTAGACCATTGGTGCACGACCGAACATGACCACAGAAGCATCTTCAGACAACACTCAGCTAAGAAACAAAGATGAGCAGCGCCCCCTAGAGTTCAACATGACTGGACAGGAGGACCTTCATCTTTTATTCCTAAGGAAGAAGTTTTAGTCTTTGACAACTGGAGTTTGGGTTTGAAGACAGTAACAAGGACATTCTGATTTTTGGAGACGGTGAACAAATAGGAATACTAAATAAATCTCTGCTGCCCCATCAGAGCTTCCTTATGGGCCTCCACAATGCACACCCAAAGGGACATGTCACAAGAGATTGAGATGCTTCCCTGTAGGTGGAAAGGTCCAAAATGGTCTTTTTGAAGTGACAGAATCTAAGAAAATCTAGAGGAGCTTTACAAATTGAAGAGTTATCCACACTTTGTCATGCTGTCAAATTTGGCCTGCTTTGGTACTTGGTGAAACACTCCAGATTATGATGGTGTACAATGACAATAAAGGCTATACTGCTATTACTTTTATCGCTTTGCTGACATAAAGAAAAATGCAGTCCTACCAGTGGTGGGTTGCTCCCGATTCTGTCTGGTTCTATAGAACCGGTAGTAAAAGCGGCAGGAGGCTCCGCTCACCCGCCCGGAGGTCATAATTGATGATTTGCGCATGCACAGAAGCTTCTGCACATGTGCAGAAGCATGCGCAAGCAATCGGCTGGCGGCCCCCAGGGGGAGAGCCTTCTCTGTGGGGGCACCTACCATCTGGAACGAGCTCCCCCCAGAGATACGGAGGATCCCGGACCTGCGCACGTTTCGTCGTGCTCTCAAAACTTTTTTATTTCAGCAGGCTGGCCTGGCCTAACTCTCCTCTTTTAAATTTTTAATTTGTTTGATCTTATAAATTGGGTGTTTTAATCTGTGTTTCGGCCAAAATATTTAATAATTTTAAGGGACTTTTAATATTTGTATTATCTGTATTTTATCTTGGCTGTTCACCGCCCTGAGTCCTTCGGGAGTAGGGCGGTATAGAAATTTGATTAATAAATAATCAATAAATCAATGTCTGGAAAAGAGAAAACTGGGAAGGTTTCATCCCTGGTGAACAAAGTCAGCCTGTTCTTGCTGGAAGGAAAAGTACATTTCATTAAATCTATCCCTGTAGATATTGAAGGTTGAGATCCATTTCCTGATTTTATGGAACAATGTTTATGAGATTCTCTTTTGCTTCCTTCTTGGTTTTAATTTATTAAGCATGCAAACAATGAGAGTGTCCCCCTTATTTTAGCATTGGTAGGTTGCAGAGCAATCTTAAGCAAAACAGAACCTTTGGCCTACTACTACCTTACAAAGTGAGAAGATTAAAAATAAAAGTAGAGTGTAAATTACAGCATGGAGTTGGAGTGTTGTTGTTGTTGTTGTTGTTTTTAATTTGATTTATATGCCGCCTTTCTCCAGAGACTCAGGGTGGCTTACAATGCGTTAAGCAATAATGTATATTTATACAAAGTCAGCTTATTGCCCCCACAAACTGGGTCCTCAATTTACCTACCTTAGAAAGGATGGAAGGCTGAGTCAACCTTGAGCCTGATGAGATTCGAACTTACAGTAATTGCAGACAGCTGGTGTTAATCACAATGCTATCAGTCTGCTGAGCCACCAGGCCCACCAATCCATGATAAACCCACCAATCCATGACATCATGGAACATCATTATGTATCTCTTCCTACTAGGTCATCATGCTAGCCGTACTATCTGTGACAATACGATCAGTGAATAGAAACAATGTTTATTTTTATTTTATTTATTTAACAAATTTATATAGCTGCCCTACTCACACATAGGTGACTCCAGGTGGCTTACATTTAAAAATCCATTACTTAATCCCCTCCACCCCCATGACAGCAACAACACAATCAAATCAACCACTTGATAGGTTCCTTCTTCATTTGTGGCCAACAGGCTTGCTGACAAACACATTTTAGGGCCTTTCAGAAAAGTAACAACATGGGGGCTAATCTCTGGGGGATTGATGCTCCATAAAGAAGGGTCCACCAGTGTGAAGGCACTTTTTCAGGATCCTACGAGATGTACTTCCCTGATCGATAGGACCAGGGGTGGGCTCCTGGGGGTTCGGCAGGGTTCGGGCAATCCTCTAGCCAAGGATCACCGGGGTTTGGCGAACCCCCAAATGCCACCCCTGGCTGGCCACACCCACCCCGCCCCTCCCAGGAGTCTCCTCGTCACCCGTTCATCATTCCAGGTAAGTGCCAAGAGGTTGCAGAGAAAAATGCTTTGAAAAGCCTCTCTGACGATCAGGCAATTTAGCTGGGATCGTCAGAGACTTTTCAAAGCATTTTTTTATCACCTCTTCGGCCAAGAGGTTGCAGAGAAAAATGCTTTGAAAAGCCTCTGACGATCAACTCAACTGGGATCGTCAAGAGA